GCTCCGCCTCTGCGCTTCCAGTTCCAGTATTTACAGAGCTGAGAGCAAGGAGAGCTTGTCTGCAAAAATGGTGAGTCTGTGCTATCTTTTCCATTGTGTTTCCCTTCTGCTCTTTTCTTAACCGATAGTGGCAACAAGCATAAATTCAAAGATTTTGGATTGTTTATCATTCTTGCTTTCATTTTCCAATGCCTGTTATGCATTTTGCTTGTTTGGATCGATGAATTGAAGGTTTCCAGAATCTTTCTTTTGCATTTTTGTTGGAAAATGCTATTCACACCTTGTTTCTTGCTCTGCAGGCTCCGAAACGAAGTGGAGTTGGGAAAGCCCCTGTTGCTGCAGCTAAGAAAAAAACGGTACGCCTCTTTACGTACCCTGTTTACAAATTTTGCGAAAGGAACTGACTTTTACTCGTTCATCGTGGTTAAACTTTTTGGTTTTTTGTGGGTTTTCTTTTTCAGGAGAAGGTGTCAAATCCGTTGTTTGAGAAGAGGCAAAAGCAGTTTGGGATTGGAGGGGCTTTGCCTCCTAAGAGGGATTTGAGCCGATTTGTCAGGTTCCCTAAGGTGGTTAGGATTCAGAGACAGAAGAGAATCCTCAAGCAGAGGCTTAAGGTCCCTCCTGCTTTGAATCAGTTCACCAAGACCCTTGACAAGGTTACCGGTATGTGTCCTAAACATTAATTTCTTTTTGTTTCTTCTGTCTGGTTCTCCTCACGACCTTAGATGCTTGGTATCTATCTAAGCTTGAATGTGCAATTGGACTAGGCTGAATTCATCATTATATCATATCTGATAGCTAGAGATCTGTATTGGTTAGTTGTAAAGTCATCATGCATATGTGTGGATTTGTTCTCAAAACTTGTTGCAGGATATAGTGGTCAATTTTACTATTTTTTCTTTGTTTTTGAGTAGTTTTATTTCTTGAAACTTCCTTTGGCTTCTTCTAATTGGTTACTTATCTCTTTGTGAAACATCTATAATTATATTGTTTCGTATAGACAGAGGGACTCTTTGAATAATGTTTGTTATCACCTTTTGAGTTTTGTATTTTATCATTCCATCTTCTGGGTTGTGCTTATGACATCCCATATCCATTAATGATTTTCACCTTGACCATAATTTTTTTGCATTGTTTTGTTACTGTAGTATATTTCTTTGTCCGTATAATATTATGAGTTTTTAATGCTTTTGGCTTATATACCATTGCAGCATCAAACTTGTTCAAGATGCTTCTCAAGTATAGACCTGAGGACAAAGCCGCAAAGAAGGAGCGCCTGCTGACAAGGGCCCAAGCTGAGGCTGAAGGAAAAGCCGCTGAGAGTAAGAAGCCAGTTGTTGTGAAATATGGTCTCAACCATGTCACTTACCTTATTGAGCAGGTATATTTTTCTTTGGTAATTATCTATTATTGCATGTATGCTGTTACACTGTGACTGGCTGTTATCTAACTGGCAGGACTTCTTGCCACTATCATTTTCTTTGCAGAACAAAGCACAGTTAGTTGTTATTGCTCATGATGTGGATCCCATAGAATTGGTTGTCTGGTTACCAGCTTTGTGCAAGAAGATGGAGGTGCCTTACTGCATAGTGAAGGGAAAAGCACGCTTGGGAGCGGTAATTACTTCTGTTACTTTGAA